ATTTTTTAAGTCCTCTGTTTACCGTTTTCTTGCTTTATAATCTGCATCTTTTCTATTCTAGCAACTTCCAACTCTAGTAGTGGTTGCTTGCCGTCTTGTTGGAAGTGAAGATGTTTTGAAAAAAAAAACATTTTGCAAAGAAATCATAACAATTTTCTGTGTTGCTCCTCGTGGGATTAAAAATGAAAATAAAAAGTTAAGGGTGCTTTTGCTTACCATTGTACCCTGTTGCTCAGGTATCAGATTGTAAACAATTATTTTATCAGCATTCAGCATCTAAAATGACAGAAATTAACAGAAAAGAAGTGGTTTTTTATTGGGTATTTTTCCTATGTTTTTTGGATATTTTTTTAATTGTATTTTTATCTCTTATCTTCTTTATATTCTCTATTCTTTTATTTGCTTTTAAATGAAATCTTCTGCAGTTATGATCTCCTCATTTATGCTTTTTGTTTTCTTTTTTTTGTTTTTAGAGTTTTTTCACTGCAGCTCTAGTTTCTTCTGAAGGAGGTAGTGCTATTGCACTTATTACTGTATCCCTCATCAACTTTCATCAAAAATGAAGAGAAGAGAGCCTGACTTGGTAAGTCAGGCTTTCTTCTCTTCCTTTTTAGGATTTCTTGCTTTCATGTAGTCAGCCTATGCTTCCATTGTCTGCTAAATGAATCAAGCAAGGTCTTAGCCTTGAAAGTTTCTTTAAGTTTTGTCTCCTTCTTTAATGTATTAAGGTATGATTTGATAGTAGTTTTTTTTTTGCAGATCTATCACAAAGCCAGTTCTTGTATACACTGCTCAATGCTAACAACAAGTAATTCTTCTTCTTTTGTAAATATTGCAGTTTTTTTGCTACCAAACTCTGCTATATCATCTTTTTTTACCATTGATCTTCTTGGTGTTTCATTAGAATTATTAAATTGCTTTCTTTTTTCTTTTTACAGCCTTACCTACTTCTCTTTTTGTACCACCTGCTTTTTTTTCTTATCATGTCTTTATGGCTTCTTCATATGAAGAAAAATTTGGAGCTTTTACCCATTTTACTCCTAAAGAAATAAATGTTAATTGTTTCGTTAATGGTAGACTAAGCAACAAATATTTTGTATGAGTTTTCTATTTTGTTATCAGTTTACCTTTGCAATTGTTTTGATGCTGAAGATTAATTAATCTGAAAATAACTTGAGCAAATTTTTATTCTCATTGTTCCATCAGATATTAAATTCTTTTGCACTTCTTTGCGAACAAACTAATGTTGGTGCTTTTGGATTATATTGATGCTCCACTATCAAACTTGCTTAAACTCAAAATCAAACAGTGGTCATGAAGTTACTTATAGTTATTCAAAAGAATAATGATTAATTTATGTAACAGATAAAAAATCTCTCTCTTTCTCTCTCTCTCTCTCTCTCTCTCTTTCTCTCTCTCTCTCTCTCTCTTCTCTCTCTCTCTCTCTCTCTCTCTCTCTCTCTCTCTCTATATATATATATATATATATATATATATTTTTTTTTTTTATTTGCATTCACTCCCAACAAGGCTGCAAGCAACCACTATTAAGTTAGGAGTTACTAGGAAAAAAAAAGAACAGAGTTATAGAGCAAGGAAACGGTTGACAGAAGACTTGAAAAGTTGAAGGTTGTATGAGTCAGGAAAACATGAAGATGGGAGAGAGTTCCAAAGGATTGAAGTATGGGGAAAAAAACTAGATGAATAAAAGTTTTTAGAACATGCAGGGACAGTAAACGAATGAGACTTAGCTGAATGACGAGTAAAATGAGAATGAATTTTAGTTGATGGAACTAGAGATGATAACTCCTTTCAGCAGTGACCATGATAGTATTTGTAGAAAAGAGAAAGAGATGCAACTTTACGATAAGGCGAGCACGATAAAGAGAAGCAACCTTAGCAGAAGCTAATTTAGCAATCGATTGTATATATGGTTTCAATGAAAGGTCTGTAGTAAACGATAATCCAAGAAGGCGTAGAGAGGAGGACTCAGTAAGAGGATTGCCATTCATTAATATAGGAATGTTGACCATATTACGATAGTTGTTTGTAGTAAACAACTGGGTTTTGTTAGAGTTAAATTTCACAAGCCACAAGGAACCCCAATCTATTACAGAAGTGAGATCGGATTCAAGATCAGTTGCTTGTTCTATCGAAATGCGATCGAAAAGAGAAGACTTTATGTCAAGACAGGAGTATAAAGTTGAGTCATCAGCAAAAGGAGCTACTTTAGATGTAAGGTTGTCAGGAAGATTGTTTATGTAGATAAGAAACAAAACAGGGCCCAGGATGGAACCTTGGGGTACCCCAGAAGTTATTGGAAATAAAGAAGAGTGTTGGCCTTCAAGGATGACTTTAATAAAGCGGTTAGAAAGAAATGATTTGATAATCTCAAAAACTTTCCCAGAAACACCACATGAAGCAAGCTTATGGAGAAGACCAGCATGCCAAACTTTGTCAAAAGTTTTAGATATGTCAAGAGCAATAGCCCTAGCCTCACCGCCTCCATCTAATGCACGATAAAATCTTTCAGTTACAGCAGTTAGCAAGACAGCCGTATAGCGAGAGGATCGAAAACCGTATTGATCATCTGACAGTAGTTTATTTGACTCAAGATGAGATGTGAGGAATTTGTTGATCAAAGACTCAAAGACCTTGCTAATAACAGAATATATATATATATATATATATATATATATATATATATATATATATATATATATATATATATATATATATATATATAAAAAGTATATATATAGAATATATATATACATATATATATATATATATATATATATATATATATATATATATATATATATATATATATATATATATATATATATATATATATATATATATATATATATATATATAAAAACATATATAGAGGTTATAATATTCATTTTGCAACTTTTTGTTCCCAAACATATTGTCCCTGCAAATCCCTTTTTTGAGATCTTTAACTGATTTCATAATTTAAGAAGTCAAACTTGATAAACAACCCTACCTTTAGTATGTAGGGTAAGTGAAATTATGCATTTAAAAAATTTTTGTTTGAAGCAAATGACACCACACATTTTTTAGTTGTTACATATAATAAAGTTTCAACTGTTAGATTTTTTTTCTTTCTATAAATTTATGAATAATTTCACCTGACACTTTTACTGAAGTTATTTGTTTAAAAGAACATATTTTCTGATAGATCACTTTACTTTACTTTATTTAATTTTATAGACTTTTATTTACTTTTATTGATTTACTTACTTTTTATTGAATTACTTTACTTTTATTGATTTCTGTTATTTTTATTGTATAATGCTCTTTCTGTTGATTTTTGCGATTTCCATCGACATAAGATTTTTCTATTGATTTATGGTATGTTGTGTATTTTATTGCATATTTAAACCTTTTACCTGGTGTGACGTTAATGTGTATAAAAAATATAAATTATTTTTTTGTTTATAAAAATTAATTTTTTTTTTTTAATTTGTACCATTATGTTTGACTTGTGAGTATTTGATTACTTGTCTGAATCTGTGAGTGTGATTATGCTTGGGTGGTCATTATGTCTCATTGTCAATTTTTTTAACAAAGAAGTAAATCTGCTTTTAGTTCAATTTGATTTAAGAATATATTCCAAAGTGATAAAATTGACTAAAGTTTTTGGAGCTCACCAGGGGAATTTACTAAGTTATAGGAGAGTGCTTTTAAGTGTTGAAGTTATGAAAGGATATTTAAAAAGTTAGAAAAATAGCAGTCTAACAAGTATACTGTCTAGCATTTTTTGTAACTAAGTATAAATCAGAATTGATTGTAACTAAGTATAAAGCAGAATTGATTGTGTTTATTCTGTATATTAAT